CTACCCATCTCCATCTTCAATTCATTCCCTCTAGTCCTGCCCCTAGCCCTGTCCCTAGTCCTGTCCCTAGTCCTGTCCCTAGTCCTGTCCCTAGGACTATCCCTAGGACTATCCCTAGGATGCTCGTGGTGGCCCAACCATCCCCGCTGGTTCCTTCCAGCGTTTGGGAACGCTGCTGCCGGGCTCTGGGGCTTGCACTGGAGGAGAAAGTGACTCCATCTGCTGCAAACTCCATGTTCTCACTCGTCATGTCTCTTCCCAAGATCATAGAATCACAGAATGGTTTGAATTGGAACGGACCCTAAAGATCACCCAGTTCCACCCCCCTGCCCTGGGCAGAGCCCTCTCCCACCAGCCCAGGTTGCTCCAAGCCCCGTCCAACCTGGCCTTGGGCACTGCCAGGGAGGGGCTGCCACAGCTGCTCTGGGCAACCTGCGCCAGGGTCTCACCTCCCTCACAGGGAAGAATTTCTTCCTAATATCTAACCTAAATGTCCCCTCTTTTAGTTTAAAACTGGTAACCCTCGTCCTATCTCCACACTCGCTGACCACGAGTCCCTGCCATCTCTCCTTTAAGGTCTCCCTGGAGCCTTCTTCGTCAGCCCGTCCTCACAGGGAGCTGCTCCAGCCCCTGAGCATCACTGGGACCTCCTCTGGACCCTCTCCAACAGGTCCATGTCCTTCTGGTGCTGGGGACACCAGAGCTGGACACAGAACTGCTGGTTCTTCACCAGAGCAGAGGAGAATCATCTCCCACAACCTGCTGGTCACACTTCTCTTGATGTAGTCCATGGACACATTCACAGCTCAGGGGGTTCCTGATCTAACCTTGTCGTTGGCCCTTTCTCCAAGCAGGAGGTTGGACCAGAGACCTCGGAGGCTCTTGCCAGCGATGTTTCTGTGTTTCTGCTCCTCAAGAAGGGCGTGTGTGGTCCTAAACCTGGGAAGGGTGGGAGCAGAGCTTCAATGGCACGTCCACTGGTGAGGTGAGGCGGTCTGACCTCCTGCCAGAAATGAAGCATAATCAAGATTTTTTTGCTTTTGGTCAGGTGAGGCTCCACCAAAACAGCTGCACACGTGAATCACAGAATCACGGCACAGGTCGGGCTGGGAGATACCTTTAGAGATCATCTAGTCTAGTCTAGTGGGCATCTCCCACTGGATGAGGTTACTCCAAGCCCCGTCCAACCTGACCTTGAACACTTCCAATAATGGAGCATCCACAACTTCTCTGGGCAACCTCTTCCACTTTCTCGCCACCCTCACCATGAAAACATTTATTCCTTAACGCCCAACCTCAGCCCTCTTGACGTTTAAAACCTCAAGAAGTTCTCCAGATGGTCATTGCTGAAGCACTCGCAGGTTTGTAAAGCTGAGGGAGATCCTTCTCCAGCCTGGGGGATCCTCTTGCTACCCTCCAGACAAGTTTAGAGGATTTTCCTCTGGTTTTTTTTTTCTTCTGTGTGTTGTTTTTGTTTTGTTTTTCAACGGAGGCTCCATCATGGAGATGGATTTGGGTCACTGCAGAAGGAGGCAAAAAAATCCCTGCTGATTATCATTCCCCTTCCAGAAGAAGAAAACCAGAAGGAGACCCCAACGGTGGAGATGGGTCAGGGCACAAGAAGAGTCCAAAGAGTCCAAAGTCCTGAGAACACATGGACACGCCCATTTATTTCTTAAAAAAATAGGTTAATATGGTTGATGTTAATATTTCTTTGGTTTTGAAGAGGTGTCTGATGAAAAACCTCCTTGTTCCTCCTGCGGTCAGGGGGATCGTGCCCTGGTTAACTGGGGGGAGCAGCATTCCCCTGCTG